CACCCCCGTAGTCGACTGAATCCGTGTGTTATTATTATTATTGATATTGTATAATGTTATATTCCCGAGTTGTTTTGTTTTTTAAATAAATCCATCAAACGGTATTTTTGTATGGATTTTCCATTTTAAAGGCAAGTGCGCTATTATCATGCGTACCTGTGTACATTACCAACTCCCATTATTGGCGAAAAACCCGAAAATATGAATTAGTATATCTTATTTTTCCATTGGTCTGAAATACAAACACTCCCAGCGCGCATAATTGATGATTAAATCGAAATGAACACATCTATTTTAAACAAGTCGCGGCAGACGTTTTCTCATTTTGTATTTTCGTGTAACTTTAACATGCACACACAAACTAGGCCGTTTCTATATCAAGACTGTATAGGATTGCGGTCTTTCTTAATTCAGGAAGAAAAAAAGACGTTTTTTTCCTAACCACGTATCTCTTTCACTGGGTTCATTTTCATGAGGATAATACGCTCGCGTAACCTGAAAAATATAAGTTATATTCGTTCTCGCATAATAAGCTGCTTCTGCCTATCTATTTATTTATTAATTATTATCCGTATAATGTAAAGGTTTACCATGGCCGATGGACTTGCTCGTAGAAATATCGCTTAACCGTGTTCGTTTTTATCAACGTCTATCCTGTGCTCAGCTTAATCGCTGAATAATAATTTTATAATATTTTGGAAAATGTAGGTGATCGCACGTGGTACGAAGACTATATATGATATTATATTAAGCACTCTCTCGGTGTGTAGGTATAAGTGTGCTAAATTATGAGATTATTGGATTAGGTGTTTTAAAACTTTCCCATAAGCTGTCAGTTATACTTAGCAAATTGTTTTCGCGTCCCCGGGGTGAAACGCCGGCTAGGCAGTTTGATGCCGTGTAAACATGGAATGCCCGTAAATAAATATCACCCAAAAAGTCCATTTTAACTTTATATTATTTCTGTCTTTTTTTTATTTACTTTTTTATTGCGCCAAGTAGCATCTACCGTGTTTTTATTCCAGTTTGCTCTCATCCCGAATAAACATACCGATAGCCGTGTTATAATATACATCCAGCATCCACGGTCGTGACGATGAGAACAGAACTGTGTTATGTAATGGTAAACAAAAAGGCAGCCTACATAAAATAACATGATGAGTTTTTTAATTTAAAACGCACGCTTCTTAAATTATGTTCTGTTCAGCGATACATAGTATATATATTATTTTTAATTCCGACAAACCGTTGTACTTATTTATGCTCAACCCGGTTGCGTTGTACTGTGTTTCTTGACGTATGGAAATCAATATAAATTATTTGAGTCGTTCAGATCGAATTAATAATTCAACGTCATATTTTCGTTTCATCGTCGTTGAGTTTGAATTGAAACACGCTTAACTCTTAAATTATTATAGTTGACATTTGACAACTCACCGTAAACGTTCATGTACGGCGCCGTTATGTAACTAGTATATAAATAAGTAACTTCCCGTGCAATATTGCGTTTGTGTTTTTATACAAATTTGTATAGATGTTTTGCGTAGGTAGTGCGTGCACAAGTCGTAACGTGTGTTTATGGTCATAATAATAGTATGTTTTCAATGCTTGACATACTGACTATTGCAAATCAAGGAAGACGTTCGTTTTCCGTGATTCGGCTTTGCGAGACCTTATAAGGTGTATATTTAATACCGTTGTATGTGTACAAAACTTTATTTTGACCGTGTCTATGCAAACAGAACACGGCCAAAAGACACAACGTATGTTATTAGACGCCTAACTTAACATTGTACCTACTGTTAATAACATACAAAATATTTGAATTAAGCATGGTTTTTACAAAAAAATATTGAGTTGAGGTATCAAAAAAATAAAAACGCCACCCCATTGAAAAAGTTTTTCTCTATACATTGTGAGAATTTGGTAAATTTACTCCTTAAGGGGGTCGGAGCACAACTAATTTTCATGCGTTTTAGACAGATAAGCGGGGCTAAATTATACATACTTCCCAATGTGGGATATTAATTTTTAAAATATGTATGCATTTGTTGACAAATTTTCTAGGTTTCTTAGGTAGATATTATGAACATTTTAAACATTTTCAACTCACAATTTCAAACGATAATAGCATGCGAGAACTACTAAAAATGCATCGACTCCATATTGTTTTAAGAATTTTAGTTTGATATGTTTGCTTCTTTTTTTTTTTCCGTGGGCGTTTTTGAACCAGTCTCACCCTGACGCTGTCGTGGTATTTTCACGAATAACGCAGGAGACCTTGTAAGACTACTACTGACCTTAGTTATGACTAACGATGTACATTTTGTATGCACACGGTTCGAAGTTAAACTTTTAAACGACGTAATGACATGATGCGTGTGTGTGTGTGTTTATTATCCATGACAGTTGTTTAGAATTGTGTGGTACGGTAAGCGCCTTTGTTTGATTGATGCTCAGCAGTTTGTATTGTATGTTTGTGTGTGCATGACTGACGTTTGTGAGTGTTTCGTTACAGCATATTATTATTGTGGTGTGTGTGTGGGTCCCTGCAAAATTCGAAGGCGTCGAAGTGCTTCCAGGCGACTAATGAGGGGCTAATGCGTGGAATGAGATATTACATTATATTGTTATGTGTGTGTGCAAGCACAACAGTAATATACCTATATTATGCATGTGTGTTCATTATCGGCTGCCATGCAGTAATTGCTTGGGGAATACATAAATACGGATGTAAATTCTAAATTATGCCACTGTTGTCTAGTGCAAGTTAACGGAACGGGTATGTTTGCTATGATAAACCACTTTTGCTTTAGTCTTCCGGGGTAACTGCGATGGCGACGATAGCAGGCTACTACTATTGTTTGAAATCAAATTATTTAGTAATCCGCTAACTCACTTCTTCCCTATAAACTTTCCTACTCAGTCATTGTTGTGCTACCAACTCAACTTTAATGTCGAAACAATTGAAGTGGATCGCTATAATTATTTAGAAAGCACACGCTCCGATGTTTAAGTACAAAACTGCGAACAAAACCGATTGCTCTCGATAAAACCGTTAATTGTTTAAAACTATGAAACGAATACAGCAAAGCGGATTTATGTGTTGTTCAAAATGTATATAGTTCATAAAATATTTAATTCTTCAATATTTCATATAATATTTGAACGTTAGCAATGTAAGCAATGCAAAAATTACATTTAAAACGGTAAAAATACAGGGTAGGTATATTTTTTTTATACTTTAAAATGAAAAATATTTATAATACACTTAATAGTTGTTAGTTTTTAATAACAACATTTTTTTTTATGTTTTTTACTTTTTTTATTTATTAACGAATATTTACAATCTATGCTGCAAGGCATAATAAGCAAATAGTTACATTGTTATATGTACAGAGAGAGAGAAAAAAAAAATAAACAAATAAAAACGGTGATGTTGTATGAGGAGGGAGGCTATCCGACGTGATTTTTTTTCTAATTATTTTTGATAATAACTAATTTATGTTGTTATTATCTTTATATACTCTACCACATGTTACGAATGATTATTACTTTACATTTTTCATCATAATAAATCATTTATGCTGGTGTTATGCCTAGAAATGTACTTATTATATAAAATATGTTGTATTATTATTATGTATTCAACAAAGCTGTAACGTGATTTTCTAATAATTATCGCATGCTGGAGTTACTATGCGTAGCACCACAGAATAGCAGTTTAACTACTAATCTAATATGATATGAATTTTTATGTAATTGAAAATAAGTGCTATTAGGAGGCCTCCACAGCATTTAGTCTCCCTAGATTTTTCCCTGTTTTACCGAAGTGGACTTGTAAGACGTATCGATTGAAAAAAAAGTTACAATACATGTTAATAATAATAATAACACTATAAGTTATATTTTGTCAGTCTCATTGAAATTCACCCGAGTTAAGTGAATTTTCTTGTGTCGACACGTGGCAACATCGGCGACGTGACTTAAGGGAATTTTCGTTACAAAAACATGTAATGAATTATAATGTACCCTTTTTAGTCGTATTTTAATTGTTATTGCATTTACTAATTGAATAGAAACGCCTGTGTTAGGGTCGTGACAAAAAAAAGGGGGGTAATAAAAATCGTTTTATCCCCGGGAAGCGTGATGATGTCAACCTAGTGCTTACCCGAATTGCGCTTACAGACACGGATAGCAAACATTTTCATTTTTTAGCGAAACGGCCGTATCAAAATTCGTCCTCGTAATGATCATTATTTTTTTTTTTTTTATATATATATAAGATCTACTGTAAATCGATTGATGTAACCGCGACCCGTGTACCATCTTTTAACTATTACAAAACCGGTTGGACAGTATGTAAAAATCGTCAATGGGAGTGTTTTTTCTTTCTTCGAAGGCGTTACAGAAGTCTGTATCAATTAACGCCACTCGGAGCTGCCCCGTTGGCGGCTGAAGGTGTTGTGTTACAGCTAGCCGAGTAAAACGATCATCGCCAACCGGTTATTTTGATTTCATAATGGATGTCTACTGAAAATAGAATGCGTATATTTTAATTATAGCAAATATGATTTGAAAAAAGTTTGAATAAATTAAAAAAAACTCGTGTAGCGCATTAGTTAATCCATTTCCGTCTTCAGAGTTGTTTTTTTGTCTTCCGTTTTAAAATGAATAAAAACTTTCAAGTGCCAATAATAAAAATTTTACTCCGAGGCTGAATACATTAAACTTTTTATTGCGATTTTACTAAAGTTATTTAAGAAGTAGCGGCGTACCAAAACATCTTTACAGTATATTTTATAGTCGACGGACTGCAAAGTATCCCATGGAAGCTAACACAAACTTATAATATAATATATATATATATATATATATATGTATTTGTAAAATTTACAATTTGAATTTATTAATAGTATACTCTGTTTTTATTGTACGATTATTATTAGTATGATAATAATACTAACGAGTTTAATATTTATGTTATGTTTTTGTTTCAGGCCAGAAAAGAATAGTTGGTGGCATTTTTCAAGTTCAGTCTACTGCATGTTTAGGTATGATACTAAAATACACTAAATCATTTTATTTCTTATAATTATTTAACTTCCAATAAATTGAACGAAAAATTACGCTATGAAACAACTATAATAATCGTTAATTTGATTTAAGTAGTTTTATGTAATTTTGCTTAGTTTTAAAACTTTTTTATTTAAATTGAATTTATCGAATAACCCAGCATAACGAGTTAACACATAAATAAAAGAACATATTCTCGTATTTCATTAAAATATATCACAATAATACAATGTGTTTCTCAAATTCTCATATTACATTTTTATCCGCTAGCAGCAAATCCACGCGTTTGTGTGTGCTTTTGTATATTACTACCATGTTACACACTTGTCGGGATACGGTTTCCCGTTTCAGTGTAAACAAATTGTATTCTCTAAAGACCTTTGAATACCATTTAATTCCAAGATAACTCCATCCGTTGTCTGTCTTTTGTTTTGTAAATTGAAGAGTCTCCAGTAATGTTGTTGGTAAACTGTACATACATGTTTGTAATACGGTTGGCCGGGTAAACACATTTTCCGAGCCGATTCCTTTTAAAACCTAACGACGCTTTGCACATTGTTTTCCACCAGTACTCCGTTTCCTAAGCCCGTCCGTGCTGAGCTGTGTTTGTTATCGTCGAATCGTCATTTAGTCTCGGTGGACGTCTCTGGGACGGAATACGTTTCTCTCTTTATCCGCTGCCGTTGATAAATGCCAACCGTACGAACGAAACGTTTATACATGACACAACGATCTCCGAGTCGAGATTATTGTTTAATTAAAATCTCCAATAAACTCCTATCACCCCCCCCCCTCTACGAGTATATCCGTCTCGAGACACCGGAATCGGTTAAACGTTAATGCGGTTGTCGTGGAGTTTGAGTTTGCGCTTCTATCCCTCGTGTCGGTTCGCCGCCGTTTATGTAAATGCACGAGAAACCGTCGCGTACACAGACAAGTAGGTAGGTACTTAAGAAGAAAAAAAATACAATCGGTAAGGCGAAATAAAAAAAAATAAGAAATCCCGAGACTCTGTATTTAAATCATATGTCTGTGCCCGAGGAGTACGTGACGATCGGCGAATTGCGCCAATGTGTGGCTGTCCAAACTGCTTGTCGTACTACAAAGTTAAATATAAAAATTAAAATGAATAGTTTTTCGCATGCGTCGTCGCCGTAACGCGTTATAATGCAAAATATTATCCTTCTATAATATATTGTGTGTGTGTGTTTTTTTTTTTTTACATATTTTATTGCCTGTCGCCGTTTCCGACGACGCGACGTGGGCGCGGCACACTGTAATAATAGCTAAATGATTTGTGTACGGACAATAATATATTCACCTACTTCGGTATACTATACTCCTTCCTCGCATGGGCGGAATAAGGGATAATCCCCCCTTGAATATTTACCGTTATGTATACGTTTTTTTTCATGTTCGGTGCTCATTTTAACTAATTAAGTACAATTAAATTATTATATAATCAATTAGATAGAGTTTTGAATTTTAATGATTACCTACCCCTAAATCTAAATTGTAGTTTTTCAAATTAAATACATATTTTATTTATTACACTTTAGCTCATCTATATCTTTTGCCAGGGAAACATAAAAAAAAATTGGTAACCAGAAAAAAAAATAAAAGAGAATAAGTCGTCAAGAGATAATATGATATGCAAATCCAAACGAGAAAAATATGTCTAAATTTTAAACTTTGTTGATTTTGTCGTTCGTTGTTATTTTCAAAGAAATTTATTTTGTACTGTATTTCTATTTAAACATTTCTTTATTATTATTATTATTGAATATTTTATCAGAAATAAAATAATATTATATATATGTACATAATTTATTAGTATGTACTATGTACCTATCTTTTTTTTGTCAATCTGGATTTTGAATGTTTTAATGTGAATCATTATAAATTTAATAATAATATGGTTTACTGAGTGTAGTTTGATGTCCGTTGAGCGTTTACGCATAAAAAAATATAATATAATATATTATTATAGTAACGAAAACAAATAGTTACAAAAGAAATGGTCTATTGGTTCGAAAGTGAGCTCAAGTATATCCGAAATCTACTTATTTATGGGTTCGAACGATATCGGTTCCTCTTCTCGCGTCTCGACGATTATGGCGATATTGCAAAACAATGTATTTATAATCAACGGTAGCCTAAGTCGCATTTGTAACGGGAGTTGATCGGTTATTATAGATTGGACATGTACAAATAAGCGCATAGCGGCGTATATTCGGCACGTGTGTATTACCCACACACCCTTCTGACTCATTCTCTAATTTGGGAGGAAATCTATTCGGTCAAAACTGATTACATCCAATTCCCTTTTCGGCCACTTCGATTTAAACACTAAACCAATAATAAAATACTTGGGAATCAATGATGTAAAAAAATTGTATAAAACTATTTTTATTTTAATTCCAAATGAATATATTATGTTCTATTTTTTTCGATTAATTATTATTTTTTGATTTTGTGTGCTGTCAGCTGTACAGCATCGGCCAACAATATTCATTCGTTTTCGGTAGTCTGCTCTGATTCGAGCTAGATTATGGAACTAAATCATTAAATTAATTCAATGTTTTCTAATTTTGTAATAAAAAATGTTTAATAAAGTCAAACATAATAAATTAACACAGAGAAGATACTTATCACACAAAAACGCTCCGGCCATGGTCTTACGACGTCGCAGTGTGAACGTTTTCAAAAAACTAAATGTAAAATATTATATATATATGTATTTATACAAAATATTATAACTAATTTTAAACAAATACCCAATATAAAATACAAACCGTAGTATCATTGTTTTGAACTGATTGTACTAAATAGATAAGAAAAAGGCAAGTAAGGTCGTTAAAAAATGGCCGTCACTTTTTTGTTTACATTTAAGTGACCCTTCTGCTTTTATCTTATATTCTGTGCTTATATTAACAAAAATTCTAAATATTTTATTACTGACGAAAAACAAAAGAATACACACGTTTTTATGTGGAAATCGATATAACTTATGGTGAGGAAAGAAAATACAGTCCATATGGGATAATTTTAAAGTTGTACGTTTTAATTGCGTTCGCCGTTTCGCCGACGGATTTAAGTACTCTGCGCTCGTCGACCGCCTCCGTGTAGCTGTGGTATCGTGCAGGACAAACAAGATTACAGTTGCCACGTTGTGTCTGTTTGTTTTGGACCTGTACGACTAGCCGTTGTTTGTATTATAGAGGCATAGAACAGAACAATATAATATGATGAAAAACTGGCCGGCGTCACACGCATTACGCTCAATAAAGCCGAGCAAGTAGATTTCGTCTCGAATTACCGTCCACGCAATAAAACGCACTCGGCATTTAATCTCTCGTCCCGGCATAACTATCCTCTGCTATGTCATAATACCATGTGGTGGTTAGGTTCATTCTTTCCTCGTTATCCTTTTTCTTTTTTTTTATCGATCATCGACCGACAAGGCAGCCAACGGTCCAATACTTTGACGAATCATTTGTCTCGCGACACTCGTGACTCGCCCAAAGCACAACTGTGCGAATCGAGATTGTATGTAAAACGTGACGTTATATAAACATAAGCCTCAGTTCGTTCGATTATTGAATATGGTTTCATTATTTTGGTCAAGCAGATAAGATTGAAAGTCTTTAGAGACGTTTTGTGCGAATGGTAGTTTTTAAAACTGGAAAAGTCGAACATGGTACAGTTGTTGCTGAAATAGGATTGAATAGTCTCACTCATTGTAGTCGTACTCTTGATGTCGTCTGGATTTATAAATTAATAAATATAACCAAATTTATTGTCCTGGAATATTACAGCTCATTTCTATGTTCCTTATGTTACTTTGCGATCTCCTCCTACGTTTTACATCACTCTTTCCAGTTTTATACTTAATACTATTAAACTATATATGTTTTAGGTACTTAAAATAAATTGTTTTGCTAATAACCGGTGAGAAAAGTCAGTAGACGTGACACTTGTACTCCGGTCACATGGCGGAAACGAATATAATTCTAGTGTCGTTTTCCCAAAAACAACTATCTGTCCATCAAATACTTGGCAACGGCACAAAGCAATAATTGCTATTGAGTTTTTTTTTAAATTGTATCCACTTTTGCTGCTACTAATCGGTACCGCTCATTAGTCATATATAATTTCCTTAATCCGGGTTCCATATATTATTGGATTATTAAGCCGCGGGTTGTTACGCTATACTTTTAATCCGTCTGTCTGATCCTGTTAAACAAATGTTGTTGGATGCACTTGGATGCATTTTGCGGCGGAAATGCAACATAAGCCCCGCCTAAAAACTATTCTGCACTGTTTATTCTGCATAGCGTTTGTCTTTAACGTCTCCCTTTTTCTCTCTCCCTCCGTATAATTCGTTAAATCCATAATAGAGCATTATATACGCTTTTTGAAGTCTGGCCAAATAGGACAATCTACACGTTTATGTTCATACGTTTATTTATTTACGGACCTCCTATTCGATTTCCAATAAATTATTTGTATGCATTTAATGGATTTCAAATCGAGCCTGCGTTAAAGCTATTACGAACACAACAATAATGGTTGATTTTCGTAAATCGAACAAATGAAATTGCCCGTTTTTTTTATCGTCAAAATGAACTTCGGTTAGAAATGCATTAGCTATAAAATGTACCAATGCTATTTAACAGAAAACGGGTAGAAATTATTAGTACATATACGGCTATATTACTATAGTACAACGGAAAAAAATAATTGTGTTTTATTGGCAGTATAAAAACATTTGTGCAAAATTAAAAAATTATACAAAATATAAATAAAAGATATTATGATCAAAATCGAATGCGGATGAAATTGTGTGTTCTCTTAATGAAAAATGTGAGAATGGTAGTGTGTACTTGATCTATACGAATAATATACATTTGTTTTTTTTTTTTGTAAGTTATCGTCCAGTTGTATTAATGTGCTTAATTTTAGACCGAAAATTGTG